CTTAAAAAAGGACGTGTGCTTCTAATAATTAAAACAGTTAGGGAACACCAATGTGAATCATATTCAGGAAATTAAAATGGATAAAATAACTACTGTGTTTTGGTGGAAACTATGGCAACCATGACGATTTTTGTAAGCGAAGGCTAATATTTGACTAATAAAACAACTACATAAAATGTAATCTGTGAGCGGGTAATAAAGAAAATTAAAAACACCAGCTCTGAGCTGTAAAACTTCAGATGGACTTACTCTAATTCTGCGTTACTTGATCCCAAAGAATACAATTCAGTCTCTAGGCGGCTGCACAGGGAAAAGATGGCAATGCCATCACACAACCTAACTATTCAATTTACTTATACTCACGTTACTAATAGTTTTCTGGTCAGAAAGAATAACATAACTTTTGGGGGTTGTTTCCCTATATTTGTGAGTTTTAAAGAATGTTGTTCTTTACTCTTTCTACTTAAACTTGTATCACTGCATATACGATGCAACAAGTCCTCTCGATGGAAATCTCCCTAGTTTTGCAGGAAAACGGCCTTATTTAGGCTGCAAAACTCGAACTCTGAATTACGTCGTACTAATAAAACCTGCAAACTTGGGGAAAAAAACAAAATGTATTTAACAAAGCTGCGAGCATCCGACAGAAACCCTGTTCACGGGGAAACTACGGGTGATGAGAGCGCTCGCGCTGTCCAATCAAACAAAATAAAATGCATTTCAGTTGATAAAGGTAGGGTTTTATTCGTTCAAGGCTTATCGCCCGGCCAGCTAAATGTATTTTCCATTCATAGTAACGCAGCATTACTTACCCGTCCATTGCACACCGAGGAACAGCAGCTCTGATCCGCAACTTTGTTGCTTGGCTGAGTTTTCTTAAAGCGCTACAAAATGGCGGAGTGCGTTGAGCGGAGCCTCAGCGATGAGCTCGGTGATTGGTCAAGCCTGGACAACAGTGGGCGTGTCAAAACACTAGGAAGGTTGTGATTGGATAAGACGAGTTGAAAGCAAAGGGCGGTTACAGTTGAGGAGGGAGAAACCGCCAGTCGCGCATCCTTGTATTGTTCTGTCTTTGAAGAATGGACCAGTCATTTAGGAAACCGTTTTTTTTTT